CACAGATGGTAAATGGAACCCATAGTTTATATTCTTTCCTATCTATGCTAAGGATCACAGAAAGCATTAAAGCAGGTTTTCTTACCACTGGCCTGAATGCCTTTTTCCTAAATTTAAATCAAAACTCAATGCTTTCAAAATATGTATTTGCTTTAAATTTTTATCTAAAATTACTTGATTTTTTAATTAAAACATTAAATCTTCTAAATTTAAACCTTGATCGTTTCCTAATTAGATTTATTTTAATTTAATCTGGTCTCTAAAAATAACATTTAAAATTTACCGCACTGTTTGTTGCCTGTATCAGTGTTGTGCTAAGATTTCAGCCATCTGAAAAACTTCATGCGTTTCTTCCTGGTCCTTAATAAGCATACAAAATCTCTCCTTAGCAATATCATTCTTGTATAGATACCAATGTAATGGAATGGATCCCTTGACAATTCTACTTCTTGAATGCATACCCTTTCTGCTCCTAAATTGTACAACCTTGTGCCTGTCTGTCCAATTCATCATGGCCATTTAAAATTATCACTGGAATACAGAGCCATAAAAATATAAAAAATACCACATGTGGTTGGACTAACTGACCTAAGGCACCAGAGTAAAAAAGAGCATGGCCTTCAGAGACAGGTCTGAGTCCCAAACCTGGCTTTGATCCTGAGGGACTCACTTAACTTCTCTTAGCCTCAATTCCTCAGGTATAAAATAGAATAATATCTGCTCACAGGCTGTATAAGGATTAAATGAGATATATGTGTGGTACCTAGTAACATACTGGCTGCTCAGTATATAGTAAATAGCTGTGGCAGTAAAAGACATTCTACACAAAATCATTTCTATCCCCATGAACTCAACTTCAAAAGACAAGGGGTATGTGCCAAACAGTCCTGATTTATCAGCTCACTCATCACTAAGCAGAATTTTGGTAAGCATGTTTCTAATGCCGTCCTCTAACAGGGCACCTGCGACACTGCCCATGTGAAATGTAATCCGGGCCTTTCTCCCGGTCTTAATTTCCAACACTAAGTCACAGATAACTTCCCTTCGGGTACGACCATCAAGCCAGTAATCCACACAATAGTATATGCTTCTTTTAAGATTTGGTAATGAAAATTGTGACTTTTTACCTAGTTTTTTATTCTTATACTCTGTTCATACACTGTATATTTCCTACTATATAGTGAAAGCATTCAACCAAGGGGCCAAAGCTCTGATGTCTGTGATAACTACAACTCAGAGCTACCACCTTGGGAAAAAGATATGAACTGGAAAACGGGGCTGCTAAGTCAGAGACTGAATTATAAAGTCCTTATTTTACAATACCAAAGATTAAGCTAAGTTAATTAAGTGTATAAACTTAAATTTCAGGTGGAATTTGCTGAACCCACAATTATAAAAATTACTTCCCAAAGACTGTAAAAAAAAAAAGTACTAAGGACATGCTGCTGACTTGGTCACAAAAGCAAGCTGAATAGGAGAGTTTCTTGTATGTAATCATGTCCAGTATGTGTGAGTGTATATTTGTGTCCTGTGTGTGTGCAGAGATGACAGAGGAAATGGGATATAGTTCAGTTTAACAGCACACTGTGCTATTGGGCTGGCTGAACTATGAAGTCTCTTTACTCCAAAACGTAGACAGGTTAATTGTTGGAAATTATGTAATTATTATATAAAATTAACAGTAGTTTACAATTACATGTCACTTTACAGTTTACAAGTTGTTAAATACACATTCAATTTGATAGCCGAAATAAAGAAATTGAACTCTTTTACCCTCCATGTTCCCTCCATCAAGACCAGAGCTAAGGAACACCTGATCAGGAAAGGTCATATAAACATATCAATCTGTACAGTACCACAAAGAATAAAGGGGACGAAGGCAGAACCTTGGAGGGGGCTACAGCAATTTAAAGGAAGGAGAAGACTAGAATGTTAAATATGAGGAAGGCCCAAGGGTCCCAGGAGATTTAGGCAAGAGAACGGACAGCTCGTGTTCACTTCAGAACAGGAGGGGCACACAATCTATGTCCCACATTCTAAAATAACATGAGAAGATCATAACCGAAGAGCTGGAGTTGAACTTTGTGGTTTCTGAGAACACAAGTAGATGACCACCAACCATGGCTTCTGAATGACCTCAGAATTCAGGGTTCAAAATTTTGGTTGCAATGGAGGGCTTCCTTGGCCCCCCTGAAATTTATCAAAGGTCACTTGAGGAGCTGCGATTTTACATAGTGGTGGCATCCTGGGAAGCATCTATTCCGTCAATCAAGTGTAATATCTCACAACCGTGGAAAAGGAGTTTCCGAGCAGGAACGAGCACTATCGATGGGAAGCCGATACCTGGGCCATCTCTTGGAGATTCCTGCTGAAAGGACTGCAAGTGTTTCTCCAGAGAAAGCACTTGCCTGGGTATGACTCAGGGCCGGGCAGGAATTCACACTAGGAATCCGGGTGGTGGGAAGGCGGAGAAGTATGCCTACAAAGATCAAAGAGCCAGGAATGGAAAACACACTATAAACCTGCCCAGTGGGCAGGCTGCCTCCCCACTAGATAAGAAGACCTCTTTAATCCTGAGTGTAACCAAGCAGACAAAGCAACGCCCTGGATGCCACCAGCATACGCAAAGCAAAAAAAAAAAAAGAGCGAGAGAGAAAGGGTAATTAAGTACATTTATATTTAAAAAAAAAAAAAGCAGCAGAGACAGGCAAAATAAGAAAAAGGAAAAGAAGCAATGCTCACAACAAGGGGGAAGCCAACAACTCCCACTGATGCTTCTCTCCAGCATCACAGGTTGCCTAATCTCAGCAGCCAACTGCGCCACCCAAATGGCAAAGGAGAGACTCAGTCTAAGTCTGCATCTTCCACCGCTCGGGTGACGTTATGCAGGATAACCATCTGGGTGACTCACTGAAACGTACTCACAGTGAGTCATGTCTTTAAATCAAGTCTCTCAAATTCTGCCTGGTTGCAGATGAATTTAGGGATCTTAAGAGGTGAGGGATTATTCAGCAAAGACTTTCGTCTATCTTTAAAAAAGGTATTTCTTCTGAGAAAAATGGGAAATTCTGATACAGGGGCACTGAATTACCAGAAAGGAAAGTGTGTGGTTGTGGGCTGGGAGGCCCTAGAGTCTCTCTCATAAAAAAGGAAAAGATAAGGAAAGAGAGAACTTAGGCAAAGCACCAGCAGGTTTCCCTTTTCCAACAGGGAAACCAATGCGCCACAAAAGCAGGAAACATTAACTGAGGAGAAGGAGTAGAATGTCTCCTCCTCCTGAAGCCCCCAAAGGAAAACCACTCCCAGACGAGATGACCTTAAAGATGGAGGATTCGGAGGCTCTAAGACCTGGAATCTGAGCCACCCTCAGAGACGTCACACTTACTGAGAAACAAGTAAAGAAGTCCTAACAAGTAAACTGAATAATAAGAAAGACAATCCTTACCCAGTGAGACCAGGTTTCCATAATTCTCTAACATCACTTCTCTGTAGAGATCCCTCTGAACAGGGTCCAGGCATCCCCATTCCTCTCGAGTAAGGTGCACAGCCACATCCTCGAATGTCACAAACTCCTGAAATAACATAGCCTGGCTGCTCTGGGGAATGAGGCCGCCACAGCATCATGGCCAGGGAACGAAGGAGACGGTATAGAGAGGGTCTGCAGTGCGCATTAATGTTGGAGAGGAGGGAGAACAGAGTAGAATCTAGGGAATAGGTTCCACAACCCTTTAACATCTCATAAGCGCCCATGATGGCACCAGGGATAAAGGAACAGTGTTTGCTGGTGGTACTGGGGAGATGGAAAGGTGGTTTGGGTGAAGTCCAGGTCTCTGAAGATGATCAGTTCCCAAACTGGGGTCTGCTACTTAAAAAAAAATAGAAATCCAGGCAAGGTTTATGGATGGGATGAGGAAAGGGCCACACTCAATCAGCAGCAACAGTCCCTGAGGAAAAGCAGAAGGTTCCTCAGCTCACCTGGTACCTGGCTGTCAGGAGCGCAGCTGCCTGGTCTCCTGGGCTTCCCTCATGGGGAAGAGCAGGCACCTGGGGAACAGGTGGAGCTGAGGGAGGAGAAAGGAGCCAAGAGTGAGAGCAGCCCTTTCCCAGGGCTCCCTTACAAAAGAGAGTCAGTGGGACCCTTCTTCAGGTCGACATTATAGTAAAACCAGTGAACGTTTACCAAGTACTGTGTTCTCCTCCTTCTCAGCACTTGCATGTCCTACACGTTTTGACCCGTGATACACGATTTTGTTATAAAATCTCACATTTCACTATATCCCATAACACGATATTCCTCTAACAGAAGGATAAGCACTGTTACCTGTTTGGCAGTTGGGCAAAGCAAAGCTTAAAGACTTGCAGTGACTTGTCTGGGGACACGGTTATTTAGTAGACCTTTAACCCTTTCCCAGATATTGTTCTGTAAACTTCATTAATCCTTCCTTTTGAGAATGGGCACTGTCTCTGCAACCAGCGTGTAAGGCCCCCAAGAATAAGGAATTGTCATCTACTTCCTCATAATCCGTTCTGCACTCTCGGTGTCCCATAGCGCTCTACACACTGCGGCACTGCACCGGTATTCCTGACACGCAAGTTATTTCAGCACTACCGTTGGCCACAAGTAATCTAAGACAAAGTTCATACAAAACAAAGGAGGTACAAGACAGATCAACCTATCTATACGTCACATAAAATGTTATTTTATAGTCAATATGGGATACGTGTCCATTGTTACAGGCACTGGGCTCAACCAAAGAATTAAATGGTTGCTTTCTTGACCAAAATTAGCTTAGCCACAAACACTGCAGTTGCAACAGAAGGGCAGGTGGCAAAGCACAAGAGGTCAAGGAAGGAATAAACTAAGTTAAGGGAACCAGGGGAGGGACAGGCCCTAATCTAGGAGGAAATGAAAGCAAAGCAAGAATTGTGAGACGTGGCAAAAGCAGATCTTGGAAATTATTCTGAAATGTGCTAACTGGGATGAAGTGAAGGTTGTATGAAGGAAACACAGCCAGAGAAGAGTGAGTATCACTCTGCCAGCTGATCTCAACAGAGGGGCCCAGAGCAGAACTGAACTGAGTCACGTCTGTCTCACCCTTCCAGACCTTCCTGTAGGGGCCATCGTCTCATTGGAGTTCTGGCCTCTCTCATGCCAGGCCCAGGTGCCCCACTCCCATTCTCCTGGATTTAAGTGCTCTCTCTGCCTTACCCCCGGTGAGTCCCTGCTCCATGTCGGTGTCCTGCACGAACTGAGGCTCTGGGGACAGACCCTCAGAGTGGGTGTCCAAAGACTGAAACTGGACCCTTGGAGATCCCGCTGCTTCTTGGGCCGGTATGTCCTCCATTCCTGTTCTGAAGGACTGTGGGGTGAGATCAGGAGAAATGATTGTCATAAGTTAAAACAGCTCATCATTTTACAGCCTCAGGACTTAGCAAAGTTATCTCACACACTGTAGATACTTAACGAAAATAGCTGATTAACCACCTAAAATAAACAGCAGAAAGAAAAATGGATTATTCAAATATTTAAGAACCAAATCATATGGTCCGAGTATGCAAGTTTATTTGAACTCCACTAATTCAGACTGTGTGGTATTTAAAAAAAAATCAAGAAAGTACAATTTAATAAAGGTTTGTGTGGAAATTTAAAATACTTAAAATGTACAAACTTCTTTCAAGGCTCAAGTATGTACCGAGAGAAACATGCTAGTTACGATTACTCATTTTTTAAAAAGCTGGCCTCTCAGGAATTACGTGGTAAACACTGTGTCAGCCCACTTTGAATTACTGAACGGGCCTGATTAATAATTCCACTTCGGGGGTCAGCCTCTGCGGTAACTCAGACTAGGTAGGCAGGCCTTTCCCCTGATCCTGACAGTAACCCAGGGAAGGGCTGCGACTCAAACAGGTCTGACCGGTTGTCCTTCACTCCCAAGGACGCCACAGGGTTCCATCCCCCTTCCACACGGTCAGGAAGGGCCCTCGCGCCCGGTCCTCAGAAGGCCTCGCCCGGCAATGCCCTCCTCCCACTTCCCTGTGAGGTCAAGACACGGTCCCAAAAGGGCGAGGAGCGCCACAGAAACCCAGCTCACAGGGGGGCACGGTCACCGGGTCCGGATGGCTCGGCCCTCAGTCCGCGGGGCGTCCGGACGAACCCTAACTGAAGAGAAACGGGCCCTCGCACCCCGGCCCCGCGCGTTCCCGGAGACAGGAGCCACCGTCAGCCAGGGCCGGGCGACTCTTTCTCCTCCCGGGGGTGCTAAACAAGGCGCTGGCCCACCGCGACCCCAGAACGGCTTCCGGGGACTCACCCGAGCGGAGGGGCGGGCCAGGCGGCCGTCCCGTCGCGGACACCCTGACTCGCGGGGCCGCCCCAGCCTCTCGAGGTTCGCTCTAGACCGCTTGGAGGCCTGCGCTTCTCTGTGGTACTTCCGGAGGCGGAGTCCGATGACCGGGGGCAGGGCGGGCCCCGGATGAGGGCCCCGGATGAGGGCCCCGGATGAGGGCCCCGGATGAGGGCGTTGAGGAGGCTCTTCTGCGAGGCTTTTTCACTCCCCTTCTGTCGGCCTCACCTTTCCTGCTGATCCCGCTGGATGCTCTGTAGCCAGTATACCGGTAATGACCGCGACAGCCCCGGACCTGGGAAAGCGCCCCCGCTGGCCCTTCCCTGGCTCCAGCCAACCCGCGAAACACCCCGCGGGTCGTGGCCCTCCGGCCTGAGTGCCTGTCGGGGACGAGGACGCATGCAGACCTAATGGTCCGACCTCCATGGGTCCGCCGGTCGGGAACTAGCACAGGGGTACAAAATATGCTGATTTTTAAAGCGAAGAGTTGAAGGTGCTTCGGTGATATGAGGACCACAGAAATCGTGAGATCGGAATCTACTAGGGTTCTTGGGGGAAGGTGTGGGCGTTCAGCACTTGGAGTGGAAGAGGGAAACAGACTGGAAGAGAGCTGCATTCCTGGTGCTAAGACTGGACTACGGGAAGCAGGGATGGGTAAAGCACGGAGCAGGTGGACAGGCCGGCGCGGGGCTAGAACACAAGACTCTAGGGCATTATGACGTCCTGGATCCTTAGAGAATGTGTTGTCCTGTGGTGACACTAGACTGGCAAGCGCCTAAAAAATCAAAAAAGTGATTTGGAAGGGACTTTAGATACTACTCCTTTATTTAAGCTCACAAAGCAAATATTATCCTTTAATGATACTTGACATTTCCAATTACATATAAGAAAAATCAAGTGAAAATCGATACGCTTTTTCAAACCACATGAGCCCCTGGGAGATTCTGATATAACTGCTCTTTCTTTCGTCTTTGGGTAGCATTAATCTAAAGCAACTTCTTACCATAACACAATTGCTCTAGCTACATTGTCTGTTCACAATGGTGTCAGCATCACAGATTGAAAACGCACTGCTTAGAAAAAAAGAAAATGAAACGCTTAGTCAATTGCTTGTTGGACAGCTCCAGTTAGAAACGTGTATGTTGCACAGAAGTATACCTCCTGGCGATGTCTGCTGTTCCTGTGTTGAGATCCCTGGGATAACAGATGACACATTACTTTCTGCTTTTCATTACCAGCTTGTTGCCAAACCTCGTTTGTTTGCCTGATGGGCAGGAAGCTGAACACTGAGACAGCAAGGTTTGCAGCACAGAATTTATTCACAAGGCAGCCAAGTGAGGAGATGGGAGCATGTATCTAAGATCCACCTCCCTGGAGGTGAAAGGCTTGAGATTTTTATAAGATAAAGAAACAGGTTGGTCTGAGGTGTGGGGAAAAGTGAGGTAATCGGTGTTACGCATATAGAATGCATATAGAATGTCACATTTGATTTTTCTTATATTTAATTGGCATATCTGAGTTACATACTTCATGAGATGCATGTTCAAAAGTGGAGGCACTTTGCATGGTCTGAGGGTGGAGTTTTTGGCCCTCTGATGTCAAAAGTTCATTCATCAGACACCTACACTGGCCTGGTTTTAGGATCAGTGGCCCCAACGAGTCTTAGCCAGCTTGAACTGGACGAGAGCTGACTCCACGTTTCTGAAAAACAGCTCAAGCCTCATGGTTGGTTACTATACCAACCATGTCAGAGGTGTTAATCAATAGGGGTAGTTGAGTCTTGTGGTATATATTAACTAGGCTACATGAGGCTTGGAGGATATGTACTTTCAAAAAATAATTAAGGCAAGCTTGTTCAGTGAAGGCAGGCTACAAGCAGAGGGTTTTTTTTAAACAAGCTGTTGTTCTGTAAGACAAGCTTAAGAACTGGGGCACCATTTCAGGCTCTTCTAATGCTCTAGGATAGCTATAGGTTTGAAGTTCTTTCCTGAGCCACCATTTCCCCACAAGCTGTTCCTCTTAGCAGAGTGTTGCATTTCTGCGACAGAGATGAGCAAACTATGACAGTGGTGCCTTTGTGTCTAAGTTTTAGCTGACTCAGCAGTTTCCTCCAGCGAGAGGACCATAGGGAGCACCCGTTTAAGAGACCCCTTCCCTCCAATAGGCACAAATCCCTAACAAAGACTAGTAAGAAGCAGTAGCCACTGTTTTGCCCTTGAGCAAAATTTTCTTTCAACCATTCTTCAGATAATACAAGTGGAAACAACCAACTCAAAATTTGTGATTTTGAACTTAAACTATATTGCTTTAAAGAAAACGTATGAGCAACTATTCCCAAGGGATTGAACACATCTTTCCCACATGCCCACCCCTGCACTAGGCATGGATACAAAAGAAGGAAAATATCACACCAGAATTGATACACAATCTGAATACGGGTTTGTCTTCCCTGACTGCTTTGCCTCCATCAGCACCATCATCTGAGGGCTTCCAAGATGGCTTACCCATTGGACATACCTTAAACCAAGGAACCTATTTTGTAGTCAGAGAGGTGTGACAGTGATCTTTTAACCACAGAACTCGTGGTACTTACTCATCTCCCAGAAGCAGCTAGCATGATCAAACTATGGAATGGCATGTTGAAGACTCAGCTAAATTGCTGATACATGATACAGCACCTTGCAAAGTTGGGGAGTTGTCCTCCAGGATACAGTATATGCATTAAACCAATAACATATATGCAGTAATGTGTCTCCAATAGAAGGACTACGTGGATACAGGAACCAAGGGGTGGAAACAGGAGTGGCCCCTATTGCTACCATAAGCAGTAACCTAACTGTGGAATTTGTGCTTCCTGTCTCCAATCTAGAGTTTACTGGGTTATGGGTCTTAGGAAGAACATTTCTTCTAGGAGCTACATTAAGTGTTCTACTGAACTAGAAACTGAGAATACCACCAGGCCACCTTAGCCTTGTGCCAGTATATAAGTAGGCAAAGAATGGAGTTATTATAAATGCCCCCTACAGTCCCTTCCACACACACATCAATACAAAAACATACCCAGCCAGCTGCATTCAATAACCTACCTTCCTGAACCCTTTAGGCACTTTAACGTAGGGAAGGGGGTCAGGGGAGAGGGCAGGTTTAGACAAAATACAATGCACAATACAATGCTCTTAAAGATGACTTGCAACA